TGTGCGGGCCACTTGCGAGGTGAGGAACAGAAGGGGAAGAGGCACAGTGCCGCAGAATAACGCACACACACACACACACACACACACACACACAAAAGTGGGGGAAAAAATATAAACAAATAAAATCAATAAATAAAACCACTTTATTAGAAGCGAGAAGGAACTGGCAACTTTCAGTGTTTATCACCTTCTTTGGGCACACGTGTATACCCGCACGTTGGTAGTGGAAACGAAGTAACGGACGGTACGCACTTGTGCACATGCACGCCTTATATATTTGAGATGTGTATGTAATTGTGTACAGGAGCGTACCCGTCTTTATTTTTGTCTGTGCGTGAACGCCTCTTCCTCTCCCTCTCTCTCACTGGTGGTGTTAGTGGTGGCGGGAGTCGCCGACGTTAAACGACTTGTCAGACTAGTCCTGGGAGAAGTGCCTTTTTTTTTTTTTTTTTCCGGTATGACTGGTGTTTTGTTCCTTTTTTATTTTCTGTTTTTTTTTTTTTTTTGTTTTGTTTTGTTTTCCTGTTTTCGTCTCAGTGAGGAGGGAAAGGGGGAGGGCATGAATGCCTGCGATTGTGTGCGGGCCAAAGCGGGGAAAGGGAGGGAGGGAGACAGAGAGGGAGGAGGGGGGATGTCCACAGAGTTGGCGGTGTCACGAGAGGAATGGAAGACGATGACGGCAAAAAAAAAAAAAAAAAAAAAAAAAAAAATTACATAAATTTATATATTTTTTCTTTTCTTTTCTTTTATTTTATTTTATTTTCTTTGGGGGGGTTTGCAAAAGTACACATGCCGTGGAATGACGGGCGGGGGATGTGTTTGGCCCTATTTTTATGGGTGTGGAGGACGACATGTGAACTCATGAAAAAAAAAAAAAAAAAAAAAGAATGGAGGAGAAATGAAGGGGAAAAACAAAAACAAAAACAAAAAAAAAAGAAAAAAAAAAAACAGGGGGAATTCCCGCGACCGCACATTAAACAGAGAAACAAAAAGACTGCGAGAAATATCTTTTTTTTTTCTTTTTTTTTTTCTTCTCTCTCTTTGTGGTGCACCACAACCATTGAGAAGGGATGCTCACAGCTGATGTTATGTGCCATCACCTTCTTTTTCCATCTTCTGCCCTCCCTCCCTCCCCCCAAACAAAAAAAAACAAAAAAAAAAAAAGACACTAGCGAAGGAAATATCCCCAGAGGAATAAAAGGAAGTATATTTTTTTCTTTTGAAAAACAAAAACAAAAACAAAAACAACAACAACAAGAGAAAAAAGAATATCCGTCTGTGGTTCTCAGGAAAAAATGAACACGGTAACGGCGTCGAACCTTTTGGAGAATTCCGTTTTCTCCCTCATGGATCAAGAGAACAGTCGCCGCATGGTTCCCCACGATAAAATACAACGGATATGGCAGTACGGGGCACAAAACGAGCCATTGCCAGGAACGGAAACAGAGAATATGTCGGCTGTTTACCGCCGTGTTGGCACAAACGATGCGGAGCACGCAAAGCTTTGCCACGAGTGGTACTATGGGGATAATATGCCTCAGAGGTTTAAGAAAATCTGTGAGGAAGGTGGAAGTCGCAACGCCTTTGGGTACCGTCCGGTACTGCGCGTCTCAAAGGAGGTCTTGAAGGATCAAAACGGTCTGGAGCGTGCATATGACATTACATACCTGACTGAAACCCGTTACATTGATTTTGACACGCTTTGGGGATATATTACGGCGTTTGGGCGTGGCCTCGCGGAGCTCGGTATTCGGCCGAACGCCAATGTCGCCATTTACGAAGAGACACGTTGGGAGTGGCTAGCGACTATCTACGGCATTTGGTCACAGGGCATGGTGGCTTGCACCGTGTATTCAACATTGGGTGAGGCCGCGTTGGCGTATGCATTCAGGGAGACGGAGTGCAGTGCGATTGTGTGTAACGCGGCGTCGGTGCGGAATCTGCTAAGGATGATGCGCGAGGATTTAATACCTTCTGCTGTTATTATATACTTGGGGGAGCTACCGCCCGATGTCGAAGCAGGAAGTCACCGAATTTTCTCTTGGCTTC